CTTCTCTCTGATTGGTTAATCCACCTGTCAATCACTCACTCAGGATTCAGGGACAGGTATATGACTTCAGATCAACTTATCTTTGTAAAGTTTTGTCAAAGTGTGTTGTTCTGGCTGGCCACATAAGTCTAATACTGTTGCTTCTGCTATCACTATGTAGTCCAAATAGTACTGCTGCTATGCTTGAGGTTTGGCCATGGGAAAATGATTATATTATGGACAGCTAACATAATCAGAGTGTACCATAGAGAGTGGAGTGACAGTGCGCCTACACCTGCGAGCCCCGTGCCTCCACAGACAAGACTCTTCATGGACGAATAGACAGAGAGAATAATTGCGTTTCCCTTCCTCCCTGTGCCACGATGCAACAATCCATTAAAATATATCTATTACAGCGCAGGGCCATGTCTTTCAGCTCACCTGTCAGCTCTCAGGGCCACGGGATATTGAGGAAAAAACACGAAAAGAGGTTTTCAAAGAAGCACTATGGTCATTTGGAGAGCACTGCGGGATACTTGAAACATTCTTATAATCACACTTCAATATAATAAAATAATCTCAGGCTACGGTGCTGAGACTCATGCAGACACACGCAGAGAGCAATTATATAGGAGAAAACCGAATAATCCAGAATATTGTACTGAAAAGCTTCAAACAATGTTCAGATTTAAAGGGCCCATATTTGATTTTTTTTTCTCCCCATGTATTTGAGCAAAAAAAATATCTTGCCCCAGTACAAACATATCGTATAAGCTGCTCTTGAGGTCACAATATGTCCACTGTGTACTGTCTGCATCTGATTATGAAGCGTTTTATTGTACAATAGTCAGGAAATGCACATTAGAATGCTAGTTAAAAAATTCCACTCTGGTCTCCGAGAGTTGTGATGAATAATTAGGAGGTAGTGAGAAATAACTTTGGACCACTGCAAACCATTTCAAATGAACTAGTTTTTAAGATGGTAAAAATCAGGTACATAACTTTGAAGCAGGTAGATGTATTTTAATGGAGAAATTAATTATTGTCACTTTACACACACAGGAATATAGGAATCAGTGTAATAATTTGAAAACCGGGTATACACTTTCTTCAAATGTCTGCATAGAAACTTTGGCTTTGTAACAACAGGAAATGGAAACAATAAATCAAAATGTGAAATGGTACTTTAATAACTATAAAACCAACAGTCTTTTATTTAAACTCTATTCAAGGTCTCTATGTCATTGTTTGCCTAAATCCCACGTCACTGTGCAGAGCCAGTATTCACTTTGTGCATCTGCATCTACAGCCTTCACCTAGAAAAATAATATATTCTGAGAAATGACAAAAATACTCCAGCTGGAATAAGGAAACATGAGTGCGAGGTGAGCCAGCAGAGACACGACCACTGTGCACTGAGCTGTGGACTTTCCCAACACATTTTTCTGAGTTTTGTAAAGATGGATGACAGAAAGCAGAACAAAGACAAACCAAAGCTACAACAAGTGGCACTCTTGGCCTCCAAGCACCAAGACACCACCTCAGTGTTACAGGACGTGTGGGGCTTAAGGGAGATGGAGAGACAAAAGTTTTTTCACACTATCGGATGGTGAACTTAAATGACTCCAGCCCACAAAGACAGGAGCGTTTACCATTCCTCTCATCCCCCTCTCCTCTCTCTCCTCTCTCTGATAAGCAACCTGCACACACCTCTGCTGCAGTCAGCCAGACAGATGAGAACTTTGGGTTACTTACTCACAAAGTGCAACGAATGAAAACAGACCTGCACTTCCATTTACATAAGTTATGTTGCCTTTACTAAACGCATTATATCAAAGTAGACTACTGATGCTCACTTGAATTGATCCCAGGTTTTGGTAATGCAAACCATGGTTTCATTTTGCACATAAAAATATAAAGCAATTCGCCATAGCTCAAGAAATAAAAATATATTTCTTGAGCTATGGCAATGTATACAATAGTTGTTGTTGTTTTTTTTCTCAATGCCATTTAGGCTGGACCAGAATTGAGAACATGTTTTTTAAAATAAAGTGTAAATAATAATGCAAAGCAAGTACTAACAAAATACTTTAAGGGCCCATGTTACGCTATTTGTTTCATTTACACATGTCTTCTCTCAAACTGATTCAGCAATTTGTGGGTGGTCTTTTTTTTCCCATCAAAAATACAGTAGGATCCATACAGGGAAAACAGGCTCCTGCCCCACACCTGGAACACTGACGTTATCACATTCTACAGAATCAATCTGAACATCACCAATATTGGCAAGAAAATGGAGTTGAGAAAACCACTAAAAACATCCCCATATGCAGTTAGATGAGCTGCTCTTCACAAAATCCTCCTGCAGCCCTCCAACAGAGAGCTGCAGTCTGCCCTGCTCTGAGGAAACTGGAACTGGCTTTACTTTAAACTCAGCCAGTGGCAAGATGCATACTCCAAACCCAAGCTAGAGCCACACTAAGGTAACAAAGTGTGTGGTGCTACCAACAAGTACAGATACACGGATAACCTATTTTGAAACTTTTGGTAACACTTTTCAACAACTATATCATAATAATGCATAATATGTCTTTATATGGACAAGGACTGAATTAAGGTTTCAGGGCTAATCATTCCTCATATAACAAATGTTCATTATGAATTAAGTCAGTAATTTAAAAGTGTTACCAAATCTGCATATATGCATTGGGGTTAGTTGTGGTTAGTGTGTGGTTTCTGCTTTTAAATCAGTATTCAAGAAGATTAAATAGTTTGTGCAAACATCTGAATTATAAGATTGTCAGGTTTTTTATAATAGTAAGCATCGTTTTTGCATTAGGTTTGACATAGCTCTGATATTCTTGAGTCTCTGTGGTCCAAACTGACCCTGTGTGACTTATTAGACATGCTGCTCAGTTACGAGGGACGAGTCCTTTTGAACTGAGGAACTGTCTGTGACTCTACATGAATTTATGCGAGATACACGGAGCAGCTCTGCAGTGAGACGGGAGGAGTGATAACTTTACCGCTCTTTCCCACAGATGGACATGCATAAATTAGAATAATGTTGTAAACTCATTATATTCTGAAGTGAAATAGTAACTTAAAGGTACTGTATGCACTCTTAGTTTTAAAACAGGAACTACAATCACAGCCTGGTTTGTCAGATGCCACACACAAGTTTTTCTCATTCTCAGTAGACAGACAGGTCATGCCTCATGTGAAAGTTCAGAACCTCCAGAATTCCCTCTGTGAGCTGCAGAGGCTGCACTAGTAGTGACCATTCAAATCAGAGAGGCATTTAGGTTTAAACCAACTCGATTTCAGCATTAAAACCTAAATGATGGAGTTGTTCTTTCTGCTTTCTGACTGGATAATAATTTTAAGAATCAAAACAGCCACAATATAATATATAAACAACTTGCAATCTAAAATGTTTGTATCTAAGAGCATGTTTTAACAGTAAAGGTTATATTTGATTTAAACTCAAAATCTTACATATGGTAGTAACTTACTGTCATGACCAATCTTCTAAGTCTCATATAGTCCTGAACCATGGGCAATCACACAATCATACTTCCTCTTTCCCTCATTAACTTCAATATGCAAAAGGAATGTCACTCAAGAGTTTGAGAGGAAATGTAGAGGACTATTTTCTCAAGATCAATATGAACTTTACAGTTTAAGTTAAGTTACCATGGTGACTAATCATGACTAGTAGAATTAGCAGCTTGTTTCAGTCTGGCGTTTTAAGGGGTTGCATCAGATCTTTTGTAGAAGGAAGAAAAGCTGATGATGTCATTGGTTTTATCTCACCCTAAGTGCATGTGGCATCAGGCACAGCACACGAGTCACACTGGGAGCACCACACCTTAATGTGGGTGTTTGGGGAAGGAAATCAAATACAAATGCAACGCTTACATTGATTGCTGAGAAATTGTCAGGATGTTCCATTGTGTGTGCGTGTGTGTGTGTGTGTGTGTGTGTGTGTATTTGTGTGTGTGTGACCTTTTCAGTGGGGTACACAAATACAGCACCTGGATTGTGAGTTCTTACAATGTCACGATTGCCACCGAGGCAAGAACACCAACAGAACACATTGAGCAGCGGGCCCCTGGCTGAGACAAGAGCGTGTGTTGGGTAGAGATAAGATTTGCTCTGATGTCCTGATTTCTCCTATTCTTAAGCCAAATGGCCTCCTGCTGCATTAGATTTAAAATCACACCCTCACAGCCAACAAGGGCACACGGTGTGTATATGTTTAAATAGGGAGATAAGCTCCGTGCTACCGTGCTAGCTGTCATAAAAACTAAGAATACAGCAAGAACATGCATTTAATGAACAGCCATTTTAGCAAGATTTCTATGAATAAAAAAACATCATTATGAGTTTTGCCTACTAACCGTGCTCAATTATTCACCCAGCAATAATTAGGCAATCAGTGTGCAATGTATCCGCTCACCAAATGCCATTAAAAATGCATCAGCCCCACACATCTGTATGTTGACACGAGAACGCTCAATTTAGAATTGAGTGTGCTTAAAGTCACAAATCTCATCATTTATCTAGGTTTGGGACCACTACAATCAGAATATTGCATGTAACCCTTTAAGAGTGGATCAGGTACACACGATAACCTGTTAATGTGTGTTTATAACTTGTTCAAATAATGAAACATCCCTTTTTAATATAGCATATTAAACATTAGGCAACCAATCTCACTGCACTGTTATTAGCCTATATTAAATCTTCAAGTGTATAATAGTATTGTCTTTACACTTTTATAAAGAACACTAGTGAAATAAGCTAGTACCAACGCAACGCAAATACATCCGAATCCAAACTTGTTCAAAAGAAATCCCATATAAACTGTTATACAGTAGCCTCAATGGCGCCACTGCACCGCCATGTTGGCTCAAAGCCTGCGTGCCTCAAAGGAGAACCATGGGAAGCGGCTCTGCGCCAGAATGGAGGACAGTAGAGCAGTTTCATAACCTCCTTGTAGGAGGAGCTTGTCTTTCTGGAAGGACCGTGGAGGAGCTGCTGCTGCCTGCACGTCCGGGCATACGAGCAGTGAATCTCGGTGCCCAGGAAAAACACGAAGCGACGATTGGAAAGTGAAGACAAGGGGAAAGACGCAGGGAGTCCAGGCGCTTATTTGTGCGTAGCGGACTTGAACCTGCCATAGTTGCAATTCTGGAGGGACAGTGCGCAAATCCATGAAAACGCGGCAAAGTGGAGCCGGGTGGAATTCCGAGATGTGAAGAATACTCTAACGCACCTGGACCAGCGCTGTGAGCCCGATCTCTGATGCACTCTGTCCTCTGGCTTTCTGCGGCTTCCACGCGTGTTTCTGTGTGCTGTAGCCTAGTTGGAATGAGTGCTTCACGGGGGCAGACAGCAGCAGAGTAGTTTAGTTAATTGTTTATTTGAGCAGCTCCTCGTTGGCTCGGCTCAAACACGGAGTAAGTGTCGTTCGGTGTGGAAGAGGAAGGCGGGGCCGAACCGGTGGACTCCCAAACTGGATTATTGAGCTTTCCCTGTGCGTTTTCACCCACGGCGACGCAGCGTTTTGGGGGGCGCGGGTTGAAGCAAGCGGTAATAACTGGGATTTAGATCCGATCCTTGTGAACTCTTCACCGCCTGCCCACTCGCTGCTGAGCCCGAGCAGTCATCTGTTTGTCAAGCTGCTTGTGGCCTGCCTTGTTGCCTGCACTTACGAAGGAGCATACTCGGGTTCGGGACGCATATTTTGGGGATACATTTCCCCCCGGTCGGAGCATGACTATGGCGGACGACGACATTCTCTTTGAAGATGTGTACGAGCTGTGCGAGGTCATTGGAAAGTAAGTGTTGCAGTGCTGTTTTGCTTCATGTCTGTTTTCACAGGTAATGCTGGTCACTGGAGCTTTCCAATTAACTCTTTATAACACCTCGAAAGATATGGCACGCGCGCTATACGCGCGGGCGCACAAAAACGCTTGGCACAATTTGGATTTGAACTAATGATCTGGCAGGTCTGGGATCTCTAGGCTACTCTATACATTTCCTGACCTATTGAAATCAATAGTGCCAATTGTGACGACCAGTTTTGCAGCTTTAGCCACAGAAATAAGAACAAAATTTATTCAGTTTTACATATTCTTTTGTAGTTTATTTGTTGCCCATTTGCACTGTAGTTGCAACAATCGTGCGCTTTGACCTAGTGGCAGTTGTCAGCTTGGTGCAGAGATTAAAGGGCAGGGCACGGCACATAGCGACATGAGTCATGCTCACACAACATCTGGACACGATTAGCATCTGGAGGTCTCATCCAAGCCATTCAGAATAACATTCACTCCAAGAGAAACACCTTAGGAGTGTGTCTCCAGTTTATGTGTTGTAGGAAGCTCCAAGCTTTCCCAGATGTCCTTGGTAACAGGCTGCTTTGCTTTGGAAATTAAACTTTTCCTTAGGATTTAAGCCTACACAAACTTCAGGCTGCGATTTCTGTTTCTTACTCTTTTCCAGGTGTGTTGTTTGTTAAGTTGCTGGAAAAAGGACAGCAAGCTGAAGCAATTGTGAGAACTGGCCCAGATTTCATTATTAGCTTGTTTTATATGAGCACAATTTTAAGAATATTGTGCTCATATAAAATTATATCGTTATATATATTATATAGTCTACGTCTGAACTCTTGCTCCTCAGCGTTGAAGTTGGGGCTTCAATCTTTGAGCTGATCATCAACCAGGCTGCAAGTCTTTTTTTTTTTTTTTTCAGGATACCTCTGGCATCTTAAAGGTTTCAGAAAGTATATAATAAGACTTGTTAGAAAGATCTTGTCTGAGTTTGGTTTTCTCACACAACTATATTGTGATAATTAGATCTTCAAAGCTGATTTCATGATTCTGTCAGAAACTGATCTCATGCAGTTCTGTACACGTTTTGAGATATATATCCTATAGAGTCTGTAGTACATGATGATATAGAAATTGCATATTACCCAAATTACTGAAATGTTTTGATATTTGTAATAATTTGAATTATGATTCATCTTGCAGCCTGAAGTGAATCTATGAATGAATGGCTGTTCTTCTGCGTATGTCTCTTGTCAGCTCAGCAACTCACTGGCCATTGCTTGTGGGCCCCTCCTACTCAAGGCCCCATTATAAATAGACTTAATTGTCAGAAGATGACTAAGCGGATATTTCAAACTCATGTTACCCTTCATTTAAATCACATGTAAATACCGTTAAATCGGAGTGGTTTAGTTTGTCTTACATTTTGTGGTAATTACATGTGTGATATTTAGTGCCGCATCAGTTCAAAGGAGACGTTTTGTGCATCTTGAATGATTCACTCCATTGGGCACGCACACACAAGCACCATGTGAATGAGGAGCCTGGCCCGACAGACGCAGGCATACACTGGCACTGTCACCGAGATGTTGGCGCTTTGACAGAGTGATAAGACATGCTCTACCCTCAACATGTTTAAACAAGCCTGAAAAACGACATGTGTGCTTTATCCCACACAGTCACTGGCAATTTATAAATCACTCATTCAAACAAATACAGCTTGGAAAAGAGAGGCCACTGCAATATATCTGTTAAGTATTTAGCTTGGTGTAATAGGGTGAATTGGACATTGGATCTTGGCTGTTCAAATTTTCATATAAAACGTGTTATTTAAATTTGTGGTACTGAATCTTGTCACGTTCTAGCTCTTTGCAGTTAGTACTGGAATTTTAATCAAGATTCAGTGATTGATAGAACCAATCTGTCAGTGAAAGTGTGTGGTTTGAAGCACAGGTCAGATTGGAGTTTGGAATTTAACAGTTTATTTGTTAAATTATTCAAAATCTGTATTATTTACTTTCAGAAAATTAGGCCAATTAAGCCATCTAAAACTGATTTAAAACAATAAATGCAAATGCAATATCAGTATGTTGCAGAATCAGAACATTTTCATCAGATATTTTTGCAGCTTGGTGAAGTCTGTGAAGGTCTTGAGCACAGCCTGGCTTCAAAGATGGAGATATAAGATCATTTTGGTCTTTCAGAAGCACCAAAGCTCACAAGGCTTGTAAACTTGCCTTGGTTGAGAAGAAGTGGTGTAGGAGGAGACCTTCTAACTCCTGAATTGTGTGAATCATAGCTTACTCACTTTTCAACTGACTGCCTATAATTTGCAGTTTGCAGAAGGCGACTGCAGTCTTTTATCAGCTGACCTGCTGTTCTCTGTGCGTGGAACCTCTACTGTCACAGCCTCAATTTGAGACTGCATTGAGAGAGGGAGAAAAGGGAAAAGTGGATGATTTTGATCCAAGAGGAGAGGGGAGAAAGTGGGGAAAAGACTAACCAAATAAGAGTGGAGCAGTGAAGAGACAAACTACACTAAAAGCCTGAGGGTCTTGGGCAGCTCTCTGTGTGTTTTACTGAGGTTAAAGCTGTGTACACATAGACTATATATAGGCTGCAGTAGTGAACAGTACATGGAAGGCACTGTGTTAAATACTGCTGTGTGAGCATGCCATCGGACTGGGAGAGCTGGGACTGGAAGTTCACTGAAGGTTCAGCACGGACACTTGAACTAGAGATCGACTGTTGTGGGTTTTTTTCATGGCTGACGCTGATATGATTGTTTAGAATCCAGAGAAGCCGAAGGCTGATAAGGTCTGCCGATACTTATGGGCTGATTGTGGATGGCCAATTTTGGTCATTTTCCCCAAATGATATAGTTTGAATTTAGCACAAACTCATCAATTACCTTTTACCTCAAATTAGATCAGAGAGCAATGTAGTGACATTTCTGTGGTACCCTCTTTGGAGGAGTGTTCAGATAAAGTTTTATGCATCTTTCCTTTATATTTAAGGATTTGCTTGAGCCAAAATATCGGCCACTGCTGGATATTTAATGTCGATATGCTTAAACTGGCATATATCGGTCCATCTATCGGTCTATCTCTACCGAGTTTATTATCAAGTCTCTGATGAATTAAGTAGGTATTTAGTATTTAGTTAGAATTTCAGGTTTCATGAAAGCATCATGGAAGGAATGGTGTGATATTATTTTGTCTATTTTGTCCAATTGATTCCAGTAGAGTACATTATAATTTGTCACTTTTGATTCTATTTATTTTCACTGATTTTATCAACATAACTCACTAGGGCTTAACCCATCTTTGGCTGTGTCAGATGTAAACACATGGAAAGAAATTCCACAAGATTGTGTTCAAATGTGAGAACAATCTTGTGACTACTTTGTCTTGTAATTATCTATGACACAAAAATAATTAGTTGTACTTGCGTGTTACTTCTCTCCCAAAGTAATTGTGTTTACTGGGTAATGAAAGTAACTAAATGACCAGATAAAGTAACTAATTACATTACAAAAAAGAGAAAATCCTCATAGATACACCCCAGCTGCTTTTTCAAGAGCTATAATCTGTCTAATTTGAGCCATTTTTATAGGCTATTCTCCTCCAAGCACAGGACAAACAACTGTCCACCTTTACACAGCAGACTGTGTCCAAACAGTGCATTTTTTAGCCAATCTCTCGCTTCAGTCTTGTTTACTTCCTAAAACAAAAGAAAAAAAAAACATTGCTGCTGCTTCTCTGAATTAGATGAGAGAGCAAAGTCTGGTCTGTCACCACCAGTGCTGAGACTCAGTAAAATAATGAGCCCTGTTTCCTTTGACAGTAACTATAACGACATTACAGCAGAAGAAAGAGTAGTTCGTTAGATTACTTGTTACTCGTAAGTAACATTTTACTACTTTAACACCATTATTCCCAACACTGCTCCTTATAGATTGATCCAGATTGATTTCCTACTTTTCCATCTTAAAGTAAAGAACGGAAAGAACCAGGAAGGATTGAGAAGCACTAGGATGAGTGAAAGAGCGAGAGAGGTCAGGTCCGATGGAGGAGGAAGGCGTCCATTAGTTTGACTCACACATTAAGAGACACTCTGCCCCAGGGAAATGCTCCTTTGTAGTGCGCCCTTGTTAAGGAGTTGAGTGTTTCTGCTGCACTCCCCATAAAGAGGCACACTTTGCCTATTTTAAGGTCCCTGGAGTTTATTTCTGTACTTTGCGTGTCACTAATGGTTGGTGACAAATTTTATGACATTACGGAATTGTTTTTAGATTTGAGCTTACAAGATTATACACTTCAAAGGGGTGGTTTTCAGCCTTTCCAAATACCATTTTAAATAAAGGTCACTTTAATAAGCCAGGATGAAAATCTGAACAAAGGAACTACTTTTATTACACCATGGGTAAACTGTAACTTAACTATTGCTAATAAAACTATGAGTAATCAGGAACACCAGGACCAAACTAGCTCTAAGCTGATTGAACACAGCTTATGATAGTGATATGTTAGTGATACGGTACCACAGTTTGAGAACCACTGGTCTAGACAATGCTTCTGGTATTGATTTCACCCTGACTCGTGGCCATTGAGAGGTTATGCTCTGCCTACAGTGCCTGTCATCTCTTTCTGTTAATGGAGCCCAAAATGGGAGCTAATATCATCCAGCTGAATGGATCAATGACTTTGCTGTTCTCTGTATTTGGAGCCACAGTGGATTTAACAATGGCCACTCTCCTGTTCCATACATCGCTGTGGAGCCAAGCGACCTCTCTGAAAAGAATGAATTATCCTCCATTTGCATAGCTCAGAGCCCTGCAGGAGGCTCGAGGGGACTGGCACAGACCTGGATGTCCGTGTAACTCTGGTCCAATGTGGTGATACAGCCTGGTCCAGTCTATTGTCTAATGTTTTATGTTCTACCCCTGAACCCTATGAGGCGTTGTAGTTGTTTTCAGTAGTAATTCTGTCATTTTATGCTACTGTACA